TATTTGCGCTGACTTAATTAATTTATTATAACTTTAAATAATTTTTGCACCCGTTTTTCACACATTCACACAACATATGTATTTATACACGTATGTGTTTGCGGCCATATGTCGCGTCGCTTTTATCGCACATTTTCTGCGCCCGCACCACACTTTGCGCACACATGTCGCTCAATTTTCGAAACAGTTGTTGTTGGTATGAATATTTTGAAATACTTTCAGCTCGAAATTTGGCCAATACCAACAACACTATCCATGCATTTACCATTTCCTTAATGCATTGTTGTTATTGTTGTTGTTGTTGTACGAGCTATGCGCCTCATTCTTGTTGGAATCTTTGTTTTTGCTTCGTTTAATTTATGGCGCAACACAAGCCCGCACTTAGCCGCGGCGACAAGACACGCAAACAGCGGCCATACGACAGCGAGCGGAATATGGAATACCATCCACACACGAACTTTCAATTATATTTTCTCTTTTAATTTTGAAAATTTTAATGTATACATATTTCATATTAATATTTCAGAGTCCGAGCGTCAGCCGTTTTTCACTTCTTTGTCTCCTTTGTATTAGTCATCAATTTAATGGAAATTGATTTTTTCAAAAATAAAAATACTTTTCCCATTTTCAAGAAAAACCAAAAAAGAAACACATAATTATAATATTCGAAGGGGTTATGAGTTTTTACCTCTCCATTTCAAACGCTAATTTAGTAATTTTCCTCAAAATACAGCAGAAATGTGAAATTCTTCCCGAAAACTCTTACGAAACACTCGCGTGACTATTTTCTTATTTTGAAACCTTTTTGAAAACTTAACGTTCACAATTAAAATTTTTCACTATTATTTAGGCATTTCGAAATGGGACAATCCCATCATAAATGCGTTTTATTACAAAAAAACGTAAATATGTATGCACGCAGCATAGATATATATTCATATACACATATACATATGTGTAGTATGGAATTTTGAAAATTTTCGTACACGCGCTTTTATTTTCTTTCGTACCGTTCTCTTAGTGGCTGCTGAAGCGACTGAGTGTGGTCGAAAATAAAATTTTGAAAATTTTACTCAAAAACTTGGAAATTTCGCCAAGTTGCTGCCACAGACGCTCTGCTCTGCTGCGGTGTGAGAAAAAGAGTTCTGCCGGTTTTTTCCATTTTCACTTGTCAAAATTTCGGTAAATTACAAAGTGAGATTTTTTTGCAATACAATCGAGTGACAGGGTGTGGCTGAGAAGATTTAACTTATTTTTGAAATTAATGAAAAGTTAAATTCTTTTTTAATTAGACAAGAAGTTGACTTGAACACACGATTTATACTTATTACCAAATCATATTCGTCTTTATCAATCTTTCGGTGATCCATTTCACGTAAAAATGTTTTGCTTATATTTTGAGTGGAGAGTAGAGAGGGTCTTGATATTTTTCCAACAAATGGAGGCAGCTACAGTTTATACTAAGCCCCTTCGAACGGCTGATGGTTTTTGATGGGGAGCCTTCTCTTTCAAGTCATTCGAAGGGGTTGACATTCCTTGCCGCCTTATACGCGTTAGGAACTGACACAAAAAGTTGCGACACAATCGGAAAGGCACACTCTGAGCAGCGAGATATCTTACAAGGTTTCAGATAAGCTGACTCCTGATCAGGTGATTCGTTAACTTAATGTTGGATGAAATCAATAAAAGCTACGGAGCTAAACAGAGAAAGTATAACCTGCTCTAATGGCGTACAATTGTTTGCCAAATGCTGATGATATGGAAATCACTGGCCTCAACAAGCGGTCTAGTAGGGAACCAGGACCATGTGAAATAGTTCCTATCATCAAACAAACAGTCATCGAATTCGCGACGCGGCTCCCACGACACTGTTGATAATCATAGTTTTCAAGTCAAAAAAAATTTTTTGCCTCTTTGGAAACCAGTATTAACACCAACAACAATGCCTTGAAATCCAACGCAGACTTACTCTTGTCAACAGGCGCCACCTTGGACAGAGTCGACAATCAAAAAGTGAAGTCCTCTCTCGACAAAGAAAATGCAAGCCCTACAAGTCGCTCACCGTTAACGTCCTGCTAAATGGTGCGGATACATGAGCATTACAACATCTGTTGAGTCGGCGTTTGTTAGTGGTTTTCTCCACGTTGGGAGCGCACGAATACCACAGTCGATGAAACCATGAGCTGTATGTTGACACTGACATAGCTCAGGCAACCAAGAGGCTGCGGTTAGAGGCCAATTGATCCGAATGAATGGGAATACTCCAACACGAAGCATAGAGAGGAAGATCTCCACTTCGTCGGAAAGACCAGGTGGTGGCGCCAAACAGCGAAAGAAAGGAATGAATGGTGCGCTATTGTTAATTCGCCAGTAAAGAGGAAGAATAATAAGTAAAGCGGACTAGTCGCACCGTCAAATTGACCAGTTAGACACAACTATGATATAAAAAAAAATACTATTATTATTCTCGACGCACCTGACGCACCGACTAGTCTCGAACTACACGTGTGACACTGTTAAGCTGAGTCAGCGGGCGCGATCGTGAAACGTCGCCAAACGACAATAACAAAAACCACGAAATCACGAAACCAAATGAAAAAGGTGGAAGTGTTTGGCTGGGAGCCAGTTTTCGGAACAAATTAAATTAGTTGATCACAAAAATAGCCAACAAACGAAAATCTGAAATTCACATTCTTATACTACGTACTAAAAGTGACTGGAAATCCAGAGTGAGTTGTAGTCAAAAGAGAAAATTGTTGTTAAATATAAATGCTATTAGAAGGAAAGACTAAGTGTTCGAAGCATAGACATAATGTATGTTCAATGAAGCTCTCACGATCGGAGGGAATTTATTTTTGTTGTTGGCAACACGGTAGTGGAGAACTCTCAACGCGCAACAAGTTTCCCGAACAATGTCAATTCAACCATCCACCGAAGTGCGAAACACGCGGTGTTATTTCGGAGGGGAAAACCTCCATTTGAGACTCTAAAAAATGTACGGTGGCCGAATCAAAACAAAAGGAGAGGCGAAAATGAGTCTACCTGCAGCAAGACAATGCCAGACCACACGCGGCCAACGCCTCGAAGGAACAGTTGGCAACGTTCAAAATGGGATGTCGTAAACGATCTCACGCACTCCCCTGGTCTTATAGTCTTTTCAGATTCGTTTACTTTATATAATCTAAATTTCTAGGCAGCGAAAAATTTGTAAAAGTAAAAAAATGGCATAATCAACTATTGAACACTACAAAGAAGAAGAGTAGCAATTCAGCATGGATTAGTGGATGCAATTAAAGTCCCGAATGAACATGAATGAGACAATAAATATTATCCTCTTATTGTTTGGGTTGCGCGAACACTTGATGTGAGACCTGCTACCGTTGTGATACACACAGTGGCCTAATAAAACGAGATTCCTCCCACTTTCCAAAATGTTTAAACTATTTAATATGGTAAGAACAAAAAAAAATACATCGTGATTGCAGCCGAAGTATAAATTACCAACGAAAAGATCTCGGACCCGCGCCGAGGCTTGGTCAGAGGTAATGCTCTAACGAGTGTTTTTCTCGTCTGTTTCCTTGCACCTGAGACGCTGAGAAGCTGTTACAGAAGTTGCTCATTCTTTTGCCATAACTCTCCATCTGACGGTGGGGTTTCACCCTGCCATCTTCTATGCTGAGTAAACATTACAGAGTTAGGTAATTCGACAAAGGGACTTTCTTTCATGCAGTTAGTTGTACTTGGTAATGGTCAGCAAGGCTTTTGTTTATGTCAACTTCCCCTGCCGTCGGTGAAGACGGTTAGGGAACTTTGATCCAAAACTATTCGATGTACCCTTTCGCCCAATATTTTGTGGACTTTTTGTGGGGAAGATGTTATCGGAATAAAAGAAACGAGGTTATGAAATCCAACTCTTCCAAACATTGTGTAGAATTTGGTACTTGAACGGGTCCTGTACTGCGTATTCTCCATGGTTGAGTTGCTTTTAGACCTATGATGTTATAGCTCGCATGAAGTGTTCCAAGCCGTTTGGACGAAAAAGGAAAAATTTGAAAATCCTTCTTAGAAGTTGGATGCAGCGCTTTCGCTGAACTTTATATAGTTTACTCTTGAAAGTTACTTTCCTTTTTCTGGTACCAGCCACCAGACAATGAGCCAAATACTATTGGTCTTATTACCTCTTTACATAGCGAGTATACAATAATGAATCTCAGCCAGCTAATTATGTAAAATTGATCTCATTGCGGGCGGTTAAAGAACAGATGGCTTTCGTTCTTTCTGGGGAAAATATCAACACGGTTCTTGAAAGAATCGCAACCACACCGCAGGACGATGGCGGAAAAGTATAGGGCATGTACATGAAATGGTAAATTAACTTTGCTCAGAAGTGTGTTAGAACCAGAAAGAGAAGAGATCAAAAGATCCAATCAATTTTTGCGTTTATTCAGCCATGTGCCGCTGTCTGTCTGTTTGATTTTAACCAAACTTGGCATTCGATTTTTTGTCGGAACGTCCACTCGGGACCGTTGTAATAGATATACGCCCGATTCTGCAGATGCCAGTTGTTGGGGCGTAAATTTGTCAAAACAGCATCCATGAGCGAGACATTTGGTATTCTACATAGGCAGATACAAGTAAGCATTGACACCGGAAGTCACCGAAATCGGCAGGACTTCATCACATAGCTCCCTCCCTCCAACCATTTTTAAAGATGTGAGAATTAATATTTAATTCTGCAATAAAATTCCATAAATTTTGTTTGGTCATGGGGGGTATAAAAATTTCGCTATTTTTTCTTTATTAAAATTTATATTAGTTTAAAATTATTTTATCTTAACAAACCATAAATATTAATTGGCGGCAAAGTGTAATAGTGCTGTGTACACATATATGCATGGTATATTATGTGACAAGTCCAAATGATATGCATTTTTAGTGTTCTTTCTTTCGATACCTATTAACGCAACGATAAAGTCTGCTTCTGATATCCATAACCACGATAAGCTTGCCGAATAATGCCCCATGGCGGATAAATGACTGAAATGTCGTTAAAAGTATTTTATAATGTTATAGTAATTCACCATGAACGTGTTGTTCGTACTCGGACTGTTGGCGTTGGCGTGCGCTACCTCAGAGGCAAAACTGTTGAAATATCCAAAAAATTATGTGAATAGTATAATTGAAGGTCGCGTTGTCGGCGGTAGAAATGCGACTGAAGGAGAGGTACCCTATCAAGTTTCCCTACAAACATTTTATGGCTATCATATATGTGGCGGAGCCATCATCGACAAGGACTGGATAGCAACGGCTGCACATTGTCTCGCTAATAGATATCCAAGTGATGTCTTTGTTGCTACTGGCACGATAGAATGGGAGTGGCCCAATGCCACTTATGCCTCGCGTACATTTTATTCGCACTGTCGCTACAATAAGCCGGCTAGCCACAATGACATCGCTTTGATTCATCTGAACTCGTCCATTGTTTTCAATGAGAAAACTCAACCCATCACCTTGCCAACCGAACAAATGACGGATGGTGATGAAGTCATCTTGACGGGTTGGGGCTCAACTGAACTGTATGGCGATACGCCGGATAAGTTGCAGCTGGTCAAATTGAAGTATATGTCACATCAGAAATGTAAAGAAATGTATGACAATGACCCAGACGTTGATGTTGGTCATATGTGTACTTTCACACAGAGAGGCGAAGGTGCGTGTCATGGCGATTCCGGCGGTCCGCTAGTGAGCGGTGGTAAGCTGGTTGGCCTGGTTAATTGGGGTATGCCATGTGCTATTGGTTATCCAGATGTGCATGCCAGTCCATATTTCTTTAGAGATTGGATTCGTCGTGTGATGAGCGGTAACTCGAAGTGTGTGGTGTAAAATTAATGAAATAAAATAAATATTTTTGAAATTGGAAATATAAAAAATTATTATTGTTTTGGGATAAAGTAAAGAAGATGAGTGTAATAATGAAGGATATTCAGCATCTTTCTGAATGCCTTTTGGTCTAAGGTGCTGTAGTGAGTCCGTGTAAATTAGGATGATATTTATGTTGTGCGCATGAGATGGTTTCATACCTCTTTCCAATTTCCAGAAACAAGCAGTATGAGACACTTAAGTGATGGCTAGAAGATGAGAAGAGATGAAGATTTATGAAGGGTTTATGCTTTTTTCCAGCGGATTTATGTGCGCTAGGTAATAAGCATCGTAAGCATGTTTTCTCTGAGCTCTCTTTTAATTAGGCTACTTGAACACTTTTTTTAACTTTTTTTGAGATACAAAGTGAAAAAATATAGTTGGAGAAACAAAACATGTTCATCGTTCGTACCGACGTAACAAAGTCAACCCCGCAGCCATTCCTTTAACTCCACTTATTGCCTGCTTTTGATTGCGCAAAAGTACCACATACAAATTCGCTGATGATGTTTATCACCATCTTAATGCCCTTAAGAGCTCATTCACAGCCGGTCCGGAATGGTTGAACTTCTATTGTATACCATTAACGAGCATATTCAATGATTCGTTTATGCAAAAAGTCATACGTTTTTCCTCGACATAAATCTGGTAGTAGATCTTCTATAGGGGGGATTACTGGGGGATTTCAAAGTTATGTTCCATCCCTAAAAAATTTGAAGCTATTATAACGGATCAATTAGTCTATTCTGTGTCATCAGTTATTGACAACACACAACATGGGGTTGTAAGAGACCTGCTAGAATTCAGCACCCATATCAATAACGGTTTTGAAATGCTTATCAAACAGATGTTATCTTCACTTGCAAAGCAATTGACAAGATCTCTTTTTACTTCACTTCAAATTCGATCATTTCGGGTTACCACCTTCCTTTCTCAACTTGATTTTATCGTACTTGATTGGTAGAAAATAAAAAATAGTTTTTAAATCTTGTACATCATATGAAATAGCAGTAACATCTAATGTTCCTCAAGACAGTCACCTCGGCCCTTACTCTTCCTTATATACATCAATGACGGTGCGCTGCGAACTGTATGTCCGTAAATTTAAATAAGTGCAAATATATGTGTTTCTCCAGAAATTCCTTATAATTCTTTGCCTATGATTCATAATTTCAGTGTTGAACAAGTTACTGACTTCATTGATTTACGTGTCACAATGGACCCTAAGCTGGATTTTGGAAATGACATAAATGCTTGTGATTATAGGGCAAAAGGAGCTTTAGCTCTCACTAAACGTTGAGCTAAAGAGTTCAATGACCCAGATATTACGAAATTACTCTTTACCTCACTTGTTAGGCCCATTTTGGAATATGGCTCAGTCGTAAGGAGTCCATACTATCAATTGTATATTGATAAATTGGAATCAGTACAAAAGCAATTCCTATTATTCGCGTTAAGAAATTTAAACTGGGATGCGACCAAGAACCTCCCTTGTTACAAAAGTCGTTTACGGCTCATTAATCTGCCTACACTCCAAAGTCGTAGAAAGATGCTTGTAGTTTTATTTTTAACAAAATTGATAAGAGGTGTTATCGATAGCCCATGTTCACTTAGTGGGCTTAACCTTACTATCCCTTTAAGATCATCTTAACACTTTCAGACCCTTTTATTGTGTTTATGCAGAACAAACTTAGAAATTCACGATCCTTTTAGATCTTTGTGTAATGATTTTTGCACACATTGATTCCTCTGACTCGCCTTTCTGTATCAAAATCTACTTACTTGAGTGCTTTAAATAATTGAGTAATTTCCTTCTTCTTTTTCCATTTAATTTATGGCTGCGGATGAGCTGTTTAGTGTTAGAGGCAAGTGTAACAGCGATCACACACGATCGGTCACGGGTTCAGGGTAGTCCAGACTGTCACTGGTTTTCGGTCACCGGTCTGTTGGATTGTTCGGGCTCGATGTAAAAAATGTATATCCACTTTGTTGGTGGTCCTTAAGCAATTTTCTTATTTTACACGTCGGCTTATCAAATTCACCAATAAATTGTAGCACAATGATTAAATAATCCTGTAACTTTAGTAAAGTAATAAAAATAAAATCATTATTATCAGAAATTTTTACTAACTTAGGTCAGTCGGTTGGCCGGCTGCTTAACATTTACCGACATTTCTTTCTCAGCGATAAAAGAATCCACGATATCTGGATTTTTTTCTGGCAAGCATTTACTGTTTGCCTTGTTTATTCAGATATTGCTTTCTCCACATCTGGAATGCGTATCTTTTTGTAGGGGAAATACCCAATGCCGAACGCATTGACGTAACATTCAACAATATACGAATTAATTTTATTTTTTGATCTCCCCGTGGCAGAGAATGTTAAGCCCTCCGAGTACATATTTATTTGTCACATGATGCAAAGAACACTTAGAAATCTTTCCAGTCTTCCTGTTGGGGCATCTGGGTCAGCATGAGCTGGTATAATACGCACGGAGATATATGATCAACTCAGTCTTGGGATGAAGGCAAAATTTCTAGAAGTTATCTTAGACAAGACACTAAATTGGAGAAATAACATAGTTCACAGTTGGAGAAGGCTGACACAGCCGTGCAAATAAAGAAAAGGTCGGAAAGAAAATCAAAACCAGCTTCAAAGATAAGGTCATATCTTAATTTTTAGCGACAGTCTGGCAGACTCGCTTAAGCTAAATTCCAAAATTGTGTTGGACTGTAGCCGACCTCTACGGAACATGGCCAAACATAACATACTGTTTTTCACGTTAGCCCATTAATATTTTGACATCGATGGACACTGTAGGACGGATGAGTTTGCTAGGCAAATTCTTCTTGTTAAAGAATGCCTTTTGCCAATTGTATGCTGATTCACAAAGAATTTACATATGAACAGTCGGCGTCGAGATGGAACTAAAAATCAACCTGGCGCAAATCTTGGCAAGCCTAGCCAAGAAGGTAAGTTGATAACAAGATATGTACTCTTTAAAAAGAGAAGGCATCCCCAAAGTAATAGGAGCTTAGATAGTTCACAGACTAAAGGGACGACATGCAAAGATACCAGGGGCTCCCTAAAAAAAATGCTGCTGGAGCTACAATTTTGGTAGATATATCTCAAAGAATGAGGGACTGGGGACGTGCACAAGCCATCATGGCTAAATGGACTCATATCGGCATAAATTTTGATGGCTCTAACTCTTTCCCCTTCTTTACTAACATATTTCGGACCAAATTAATATACAATTTCATATTCTCGAAAGTTATAAAAACTTTTTTGATTTATAGTTTGCCACGACGATGTTGACAGTGAAAAGACCAGGAACTCCGAAGTGAAATCAAGATTGTTAAGATTGTTTTAGAACTTACCCAGTGAGAAAACGTGCAAAGATAAATCGATTCATACATCTTCAAATAAAATTCAAAACTTTATTTTCATTTCATCATAATTACCTTAAGAATGGGTAATTACTTTCTTCACAATGGCACGTCTTACATTTGCCTGACATTACACGACGAATCCAATCGCGATAGAAATAAATGCTCGCATATGCATCCGGAAAGCCAAGTGCGCAGGGCCTACCCCAATTAACCAAACCGATCAGTTCGCCGTCACTAATCAAAGGACCACCCGAGTCACCGTGACATGAACCTTCGCCCTCCTTCGTGAATGTGCAGATGTGACCCACGTCTAGTGCCTCCACATCAGAGTCAAACTTCTCCCCGCAACTCTTATAACTCAGCGTACGTAATGTGATTTTCTGTAAAACCTCTGCGCTAGGGCCCCCGTACGCAACATCACCCCAACCGGTGAGTATAGCCTCCGCATCATCACGTACTGGCTTGGAGGCCAACGGTATGGGTTGCGTGTATTGATCGAAAATAATTGAGTCATTTAAGTGTACGAGCGCAATGTCATTTGCATAATCCGGATTATTATAGTTGCAATGTGTGTAGAACTCGTCTGGGTAGTACGTTGCACGAGGATTCTGCCACACCACTGTGCCGGTCATGATGCGTAAGTAAGGCGGATTGTAGCCGTAAACGCAATGCGCTGCGGTGAGTACCCATTGTTTGTCTATGATAACGCCACCGCACATATGCGGGCTATACATGCCCTGCAAGGAGATTTGATATGAAGCGAATCCAGGATCGGCATCTGTACCGCCAACCACACGTGCTTCTGGTTGAATGTGATCTGACTGAAAGGCGGGCTCGTTCTGGAGCTTCGTGTGGACCAGTCTTTTGGCCGTGACCACGGCGACGGCGTAGAGATGTATGTAAGAAATTAAATGCCAAAGTTGCATTATGAAATTAACCCATTAATTCTGGTAAACGTTTACTTAACCAGAGTTCCTTGGAGTGACTGATTTGGATTTAAAAAGTACGTTTTTTCAACAATTTATCTACTTGCATTTACAATACATATCTGAGCTTTGAATAAAAGCTAATTTATCCAATTTTTTTATGAAAGCAATAATTACTTTGTAAGAGTGTAAGTAAATACGATATAATTTGATAACTGTAAACTGTACCCAACCAGCAGAAAATGTGTCTGTGTTATGAAGAATTATATATTACTGTCGACGGGATAAGCCATATATTTATGTAGGTAGCAGTGCAACATACGAGCCCTGTCCAGGCACTCGACCTTCGTATGACTATTAAACCATAGACTCCTCTATAAACCCGGCGGGCTACCAACTGGGCTTTTGAAATATGACGACGAAGAACTGGAAAGACATAAATTTCCGCTTCTTTGCAGAATATGCTTCGTGTGAAAGCATGCTCGGCGATTAGAACCTAAGTGAGCACTGTCGAATCCATAGAAAGGGTCCATAGAAGATATTAGACTCAACAGTCGCCGAACCGATTGGACTCTATCAATGGGATTTCAGATCTTTAAAGTCTACAAAAGACCAGATATTCATCATGCGCCAAATTCGGAGAATACCAATAAGAAACGGATCAACACACACTACATCTTCGTCGCATACTGATCTTGATCAATACCAAAAGCTTTGTCAGGTTCGGAAAGAAGCTCTCAGAGGCAGATATTGACATCAACGGCCTTAACAATTGTTCAATCTGGATAGGCAAGCGTGCTTGATAGTGAAAAATGAAAAAACGATCACATCACTGTTGGCAGTTATAACTTTAAATTCGTTGATAATTTCGTCCATCTTGGAACCAGTTTTAGCACTAAAGACAGCTAAAATTCAACGCAGAAAACACTCTAACCAGCAGGTGCTACTCTGGACTGCAAAAAAGTGAAAAGAAAAGTCCTCTCTCAATGAATAAAGACCAAACTCTGAAAGTTCCTCATTATTCTCGTGCTGGTATATGGTGCCCAGACTATTACCATATCTGGTAGGTCGGCATAAGGAGGAAGGTTTTTTGAAAAGCATATGTACCAGTACAACAACCAATAACCCAAGCAGTTGAACGATGTCTTGGCGCAAGTAGCGGGTGAAAATATAAGAAGAAGAAGAACCTATCTTTACTTGGTATCGCCAATTGGCGTCAAATGGCGAGAAGAATAAAAGACTAGCGTCCTATTGGTAACTAGACTATAAGATGTAAGCGCTGTCTATGCCAATGAAGAAGAGGCCTGGTTCGACCAACATCCAAAATTAATTTTTCTAATTGCGATCGCCACTCGGCAGGGAATGTCCATCCCTCCGAATGAATTTCGGACATGAAATAAAGGCTACTCGTAAAAATCTATCAACTGTTCGGAGGCGACTTAATATAAACTGCAGGTCTCTCCATTTGGTGGTCATTAAGAGGCAAAACCCCACATTATAGAAGGAGCTATGCCGAAAGTCGCTTCAGAAGGTACAAAGCGCCAAATACATATAATTGCAGTTAGTTCAAAGATTAGCAAGGAAATTTAAAATTGTTTGCCAAACAATTTTCATTGAAAAAATCATCAATTTAACAAATTTTGATCTCAAGAGGAAAGTTCCAACTGAAAAATTTCAATATAATGCAGGACTCAGAGCGCAGATAAATTTGACACTATTTGCTTTATAAAAGCTCATACCATATGGATCTGAAGTATTTCGTTGATCTGTGATGAGTGAAACAAGTTATGATCCATAGAAAATTGTTAATTTTTCCAAAAAAGTCAAATTCTTTGTGAGAAGTTCAAGCGCTTATATTTTCGAAACTAATAAATAAATAAAAATTAAAAAAGTTTAATTGCATTCATATTTAAGTGTCACGCCAAAAAAAATTTACTTAGTTAGTTGACAAATGTATTTTCTATAGACATTTTTGTACAGACACCAAATAAAAAATTTTGAAACAAAAAAAATGTCAACTCTAGATTACCTAGCTTTGAGGGGGAATAAAATAAATATTTAAAATTTCACAAGAAAACTTCTAGGATGCTTCATGCGTTGTAGTGAGGTAGCCCATACCCTACATACCATAACAATTTGATATTGCGAGAGGTCGCAAAAATAACTTTAATCCTACTTCTGGCTAAATTTACGGTCAAAAATAAGAGGTCTCTTTATTGGAAAGTAGGCTCGGAAGTAAAATTAAAGTTATTCAAGTCTACTTTTACCACCTGAAACTCAGATTCATCCCACTGTGTGTATAATCGCTAATATTGCACGTTCAATGGTAAATGTTCGTTGGTATACTCATTGAGATTTGTATTGAAATATTGATATTTTTATCGTTTTCTCCTCTACAATTAGCTGTTGTATGTTTTTAATTTTTGTTGCTACATACCTGATGATTAAAACCACTAATAAGAATCATAAAATGATAAGGAAAAGTTTTCCATAGTAATTTAAATCTTAAGCCGATACACAACACAAAGAAATACTGACTGTTTCCAATACTAAAACAACAATAATTTAAAAAACCACAGGAAAAAAGTATTCATACAGTAACAACAAAAGTTGAAAAACTTCATGGGATAAATAATTTTTTAATCTTAGTATTTGGTTGGTCTACTTTGAGCATCAATCGCTGCTTGCAGACGTCGGGATATTGAAATTGTCAAATTTCCAGTTATTTCGGCAGAAATTTTGATCCGGCCGATACGATATTTTCGTATTTTTATCTATTAAACGTCTCGAAAAAATTCTATTTATTTAACATATGGTGGCTGTGGTGGTGAATTTAGCTATCTGGATTCATAATATAGGAGACAGTCTTGAACAAGTGAAAAATCCAGTGCTCTCCAAAACCTAAACTATCAAAATTTTCTTCCAGTATGGCCTTATTAATATAATGGTCTAATAGTACCTTCTATTAAAAGTCAACATCCAACTCCGGATGAAGCCATGGAGCCCCAAACCATAGCCCTAGCGCCTGCAAAGGAGATTAACTTCCACTATGGCGGCCACAACAGCCGATTGCTATGCTTTCAAGGCGCCAAATAATTTTTACAGTAGCTTAGAAAGACTAACCAAAATCGTAAAATTGGGAGTGTATACAGACTTTTTTCCTTGACTGTATATTTTTTTTAATGTGAGGGACAGATAAAATACTGAGAGCTTTCTAATCTTACTTCCGACCTGAATATTTCAGTATTTATAGCAGTCTTTCGGTCTAAATCAATGATTGCCTCCTATCCGTTAAACTGCTGATGGGCTTCATAGTATGTTCTGATCTCATCGTCATTAAGTTAATGGTGTAAATATAATTCTGAGCTCATTACCTCCTAAGTGCATATGACAACCATGCATAGCGTCCCTGTTCTCCTCTATTTTTTAGATAACGAAGAGGTTCTAGAGTGGATGCACATTCATATCAGCATAGAAGCTATGAATGGGGTTCCAAATCCTATCGACAGGCAAATTAAAAAGTCAAATCCAGTGGGCGTACTGTGTAATGTTGGCATCCTGTCTCGGCTAGATAAAAGAGCGCTGTCAAGGATAACTTTTTACAATTTCAAAAGTGCGCGGTACTCATCATTCACCGCTACCGTCGGGAAGACAATATCACGTGTAGTCTTATGAAATATTGTCGAGAATATTAAAATGATGATAACTACGAGCTACCGTTATGCAAATGAAGGGTCTGTGTTTGAGCCTAGTGAATACTGAAAAAGGGCATAAGTGCCGGTTACGCTAGTGCGGAAGTGCTTCCCATGCATTCGAAGATTGTACTAGAAAAGTATTAAAAGTGTAAAACTAAGTTCTCCGAATACAACCAGCTTAACACTTTTACATGGAGAATTCTTTAATTATTTTATAATTTTAGAAACTCTTTCCATGAAACTTTGTTACCCACAAAGTGGGATTACTGCTGACTGACTACAAGGGCAAGAGCCATGTCACACTCCTTTTCTAGGCGTTTGATTAGGAATTACCTTACCAAACATATGGGAGGCCTAATGAACCACAAAATCGTAATCTTACTCAATTCTAATGTTAAAAATGGAAAAGTTGACTCTGTCATCCCGAAGAAACTACACAGAGAAAGTAAGGATATCATTTAGACACGAGTACAATGAAGGAGATCGTTGAGCTATTCGAGTCTCTTATATTGTATAATAAATATACTATTCAAACATAGTTCTAAAAATATTAAATAATTATTTTTTTAACGAATTTTTATTTTATATCTAACATAATTTTGCCACTTACTAGCGCAGGATCTTGACCTATCCACACGTATGTTCCGAGTTACAAGCAAATCATTGGTCAATTTTTCGGAAAGGAAAGTTGTTCAAACATTAACCCTGGGTAAGAGCTAACTATGTATTTATAAATATGTCTTTTGGTATGGATCGGTCCTTGGTCTGTTTCCCGGAAAAAAGTATTTCACGCACTAATCGAAGGGACGATCAATATATTTATTAAATTTAATTCAATTAAAATATTTATATACACTAATCTTATTTTTCATTTATCTTTTATTGTTTAATTTCTTTTGATTGAATTTTTTCAATTTAATGTACTTTAATTGAATTTTTTTTAAATGAATTTAATTTATTTATTCCCAGTTTGGCTCATTTTACATTTTTTGAAATTATATTTATTTTATTTAATTTCATAAATTTTTTATTGTATTTTGTGTTCTGATAATTTCTTTAATCTTATTTTTATTTGGTTGTTGGTAACTAATGTAAATTTTATATTTTTTATTTAAATAGCCGAGTGGTTGGCATTGCGTACTGACATTCCGAAGGCTTGGGTTCAAATCTTGGTACCTCTAACATCCAAAAGTAATAGAAAATTAATTTAAAATCAAAAATTAAGTTATATTTTGTATATACGGAAGCGCTTCGGCAGGGAATGTTCACCACTCCGAGTGTATTTCGGATATGAAATAAAGGCTCCCCGTAAAAAACTAACAGCTGTTGAGGCGGCTTAGTATAAACTGTAGTTCCCTGCATTTGTTGGATAAAACATTAAGACATCAACGGTTACAAAGCACCAATTTTATACATGTATATTTAACTCGGTTTAATTTAATTATTTTTCGTTTTATGTTATTTACTCTTATTTTTCTATATTTTTGTTTTATTTACTTTATATCATTTTTATTGTGTTTTTTCATTATATTTTATTTTTTCAATTCATTCATTTTTTTTAATTTTATTAAATTTAATTTAATAATTTTTTCTTTTATTTTATCTTATTTTAATTTGTTAAATTTTATTTTATGTAGTTTTTTCTTTCAATTTATTTTATTTGAATTGATCTTATTTTATTTTTTTTTTTTTTTTACTTTACGGTAATACATATTTTATATATTTTTTTTACCTAAATTTTTTGTTTTTTATATCTTATTTTGTCTAATGTTTTTAGTTTCTCATAGGTTATTTAAACTATTTTTATTATATTTCCGCTATATCTGTAATTATATATATATTTTTTAACAAAATTTTAAATGCATTTTTTTTACTGATTTGTTTTACTAATACTATTTTACATTTATTTTAATTTCGTTTGTTTATTAACTTTTTTAATTTTTTTTTTATTTATTTTACTTTTTATACACTATTTCTGGTTACTCTCTTTTATGCAAATTCTTTTTTATAACTACATTTATGTTTCATACATTGACTTTTAGTATGAGCCCTGCTATTGGTCTACATATATAATATAAATGTGAAATTTATTAGCGAATAGTTGGTTTGAACGATCGTGTGGTGGTTCTGCAGTCTACATTGTTTTAAATAAAAGGTTTTTGTGTACGACACCAAAGGCCACATGGACATATTTATTGTCAAGTACATGTATAATATGTATGTATGTGTACTCACATATTTGCATGCCTTGTTAAATGAAATGTTTAACCTATTTTTTTATGGCTCTCATATAATATCACAATTTGATATGTACATTTATATGAGTACATATATTCGTTTATAGGAATTACCAACAATAAAATGTCATTTGGCGGTCCAACTTAGAAGTCAATAAATTTATTATACCTGCTGTAATTGGTATCAAATTAAGGATAATAAGCACGATTACTTTTTATTTTTGAGATTTTCTTCTTTTTTTTTTTGCAATATACGATAATTTTGATATTTGTTTGTAGACACTGAATAATGGTGAATATGAATTTTTTTATTTTGACTGGCTGATTTGCCCAATAAAGATAAGCTCGGGATGTTATTCCTATTTAATGACTACTGCTTTTATATATTTACATTCACATATATAAACATATATGTGTAGTCTTATTACTTTAGTAGTTTTGCTGATAAATTTATAAAGATAAATGTATTGGTCATCGTTCTTTACTAAATTATTACATTCTTTTATGCTTCATAAACTCATTGCACTTACTGCAAAATGACGTGTATCATCGTGTAGTCACCTCTTGAATAGACAAAACATAAAATTAATCATTAGAAATTTCACCATATATTGTCGAAGTCGTGATCTTCAAATTCAAGCTAAAAATGTCAGCAATCATACGATCACAACGCTCCAAATTGACAGCGAAAGTCCCGCTATTGTCGTTTTCTCAGAAGTAAGTTCTAAGCCTACCTGCAGACCAAAGAACGCACCAAACAGTACTTACGTATCCCCTGTGCCTTGTCGCTGATAAAAATTTGGTCCAAAAAATCACCTTTGTTCAGTTATCCAATCTACGTATGCACGACGTTATGAATGGTCTTCATTAGCTTGAGTTGTTGTGTGACCTAGAGCCAACGTACAAACTAGATCATAACGCAATGTCAGGATGCCCAAGCTCTCACTCATTCGGTTCTCATTCTACTCTCTTCAAATTATCATACTCGCGGATCCATTTTCAATATATACTTGTCAGTTAAGTTTGTACAATTAAAGCACTTGAGGTTCTAGGGTAGAGAATAATCCCATAATATAATAATTATCTATCTCATCTGCCCTCGCAGGGTGCCGAGTCAAATGATCTTTCCACTGGAACATTATTACAGCGCTCATGCAATTCTGGGCCAGAGCCATAGATCTTGCGTATAATTGATCTCTCGAATGCTCCTAGATCGTTCTTATCTTTCTTATTCATCGTCCATGTTTTTGCGCAATCCAAAGAACCTGTACGATGAGATATTTATAAAGCGTCATTTTAGTGCGTTGGCTACCGAGCCCAGAGTAGCATCTTTTGGTAAGAGTTTTGCTATTTAAAAAAACAACCACGAAACTATAACTGAGAACAATAACGTGGGTTATAATACGTGGAGATGTTTTGTTTGGTGTCAGGAGGTACTTTGTTTTGTTCTCTTCAGCCTAACCTCTTTTAAATCCTTCTTTAATTTGAAAAAAATACCCTTAAGGCTACATGAACAATAAAAACTGTGACATTTGAAGTTGAGGAAACTTTCAGATACTCATAAGAAATTTAATGCATCCTCAACGAGTGGCTGTGTGGCGTGGCATGTGAACCCCGGCGGCATCGCTGATTCGTTTTTCTTTGAATACTAGAAAGGAGCTGCCGTTACCGTGAATGGCAATCGATTATTTCTGAACTTCGAAAATGGCGTAACAAGCGGCGTTGCCTCGCCGATGCAGTTTGACTCCGTTGGATTATTTTTTTGTGGAAAGCTCTTTTGGTTGACTGGATACCTTACTAAACCAAGTTTTCGCTTTTAGAGTGGTAATAGTCCACAAGCTGTTGTTGGGATGTTGTTGTTGTTTTTTATTTTATTTTTTTTTAATGGCGCTTTGTTACCGCTGAAGCGATTTTTCGGCCGAGCTGCTTCTCCAATTTGTGGTTTTGCGTCTTGATGTTTTTCCAACAAAGCCGCCTCCGAACGGCTGATGGTTTTTACCGAAGAGCCTTTATTTCATGTCCGAAATACACTCGGAGGGGTGGATATTCTCTGCCGAGGAGCGGCTGTTATTTGAAAATTTAACTTATTTTTTCATTTAAATTAATTTTCCATAACTTTTTGGATATGAACCCGAGCCTTCCGAATATCAATACGCCATGCTAACCTCCCGGCTACCGGGTGATGTTGTTACATCGTCAAAAAGTCACTAGTTTGTGTACTCTATAAGCTTAAGGATTCAGGAATACGGATCTCTTCAATAATTATGATTTAAAGCGGTGGATGATGTTTATGTAGACGACCTTTGGTTCCAACAAGGGAACGCTACACGCCATACAACCTACGAAACAATCAATTTAATGATGGTGAGCGCATTATCTTGCGTCGTGGAATTTATTCTTCTCACTGCCGCGATCACTTCCTTGAAGTCAGTTGCAAAGTATTAGGATAAGATTAAAATACATGCGTTTCATTTCTTCACGAGAATTACATGTCCAAACAAACATTCTTCGCATACTTTGGTGCGAAGAATATTGCAAGTGCCAGAAGATGAGGAAATATACCCATCAAAATTTATACCGATCACGTCAGAATGATGCTTTGAGACGTTTTAGCTATGTACGTCTAGCCGTCTGTATGTATGGAAGCCTCGTGGATGACTAGCAAATTCTTCAAATGCAGTTTCAAATTAATTTACGACCTTAACTACTGCCGACACCTTTTTTAAATGTAATATAACCCGGGGATAATAAAAATATTGTTTGATAAAGGCGATATTATCGCTAATCAGTAAAAGGCATTAAAACACGATATTGTTGCGAGAGCGATAATAACCACAACTCAAAATAGCACAAGCCCAAATCAATTTTGCTTCAGATGTTATTTGGATATCCAACAAATAACTCACAACATAATGTGGTCTCTTGCAAAATTAAATATATTTCTTGTAGTTTTGGCATTAGCCTTAACAACCAACACAGCGCTGCGGATGCGCGGTGAGCCGTACGTGGGCATAAGCAATCGTTACACCCGCCCCGCTGGCGGACGTTCAACATTTGCCACTAGCAACGGCTCTAGTCGCATCATCGGTGGCCAGGAGGCAGCAGAGGCGTCCGCACCGTGGCAAGTATCCTTGCAGAATATCTACGGCAATCACTTCTGCGGTGGCGCAATCATACACGATCAATACGTACTGACGGCAGCGAGTTGTGTGAGCGGCTTACAGAAGAGTTGGATAAAAGTGATCACCAGCACCAACGATTGGATGGGCTTGGCATGGTACTATGATGTTACTGAAATTTATGTGCATTGTAATTTCGACAAACCGTTATATCACAATGATATCGCACTTTTAAAACTGGCCACACTCATTGCTTACGACGACCAAACGAAAAACATCACTGTGGCTGATGAGGATGAGCTGGTAGAGGGCGAAACACTGACAATGACCGGTTGGGGTAGCGCCACAGAGGGTGGCGCCTATCCGAATGCATTAAAACAGTTAACAGCCACATATATATCGAACGAAAAATGTCGCAGTGCTTATGGTAACTCCAGTGATGTAGACTTGGGGCACATATGTACCAGCTCGCCAGTGGGTGAGGGCACTTGTCACGGCGACACAGGCGGACCACTACTCAACGCGAAAGGGCTACTGGTGGGTATTGGCAATTGGGGTGTGCCATGCGGTCGCGGTTTCCCTGATGTTTTCGCTAAAGTTTCATTCTATGCCGATTGGATTCGTACAACAATCAACGGTTGTCAAGCTAGTACGTAAATATTTAAATGCTTAAAGGATTTAATATGTTGATTTTAATAAAATATGACACACTTGTACGATTGTTTCCATCAAAGTGGTAAACATACGTCTGCACAAAGGTATGTAACGGTTAAAAATTGCGCCAAAAATATACCCGAAAAGGTTTTCTGCTGGACTTTGTACCTTTATTTACCGTAGGAAAGTGTTGATTTCCACCAGAGACTGATAGACACATAAACATGTATATGTACATTGTATGTATACGAGTACATATGTATATAGTAAGTACAAGTAAGTAAGTAAGTCTACGTGACCATTGACTGTCTGGACAAGCTGATAAGCTACTGGCAAGATTTTGTTCATTGATAAATAACTTAAAGGTGTTTTGAAAAAAACAAAAAAACAAAAAACAAACAGAATTAAACACCCTCATCCCCCAGGTCAAAGGTGTTAAGTCTTTCACGAAGTGAGTATTATTTAACTTTAGATTCAAGTAGATGCGGCCGCATGAGCTGAGAGGTTAGCACTGCCTATTTCCATGCGGAAGGTCAGGAGTTGATTCTTGGCCTCAAGATTCAAAATTATGGGATTGCGATTCTCGGTCGAGCTCCAACTTATCGTATGTGTTTTGATGTTTTTTCCAACAAATGGTGGGACCTCCTAACAGCCGATGGATTTATATTTCATGAGTTTTTATTTAATGTCAGAACTACACTCGGAGGACTCAACCGCAATTAGAAAGATAAATTTTTGGATGTTGGTCGAACCAGTAAGGAATGCTAACCACTCGGCTATTTCGGTCGCGAAGTAAATTAATTTTAATATTAATTTTCCAGCTGCCGTGGCCCTCTGCAGGGAACGTCGAGGCCTCCGAGTGTATTTCTGACAATTAAGAGCTGTTTAGAAGAGTTCGAAAATTCTAGTATTCCCCACCACAGCACACTATAGCTTTCTGTTATAGGGTACATTTGAGTGGTTAAAAAAAAAACTATAGAATAGGATCTTGTGTAGCGCTCAGCTTTGGCCAACAGGCCAATTGGATTGGAAGGTTCTACTACATTTACTTTATAGTCTGAACCTAACATAAAGTGACTACCATCTGCTCCTGTCTATGGCGAATGATTTAGCTAGGGTTCTTTAGTTGGCCTCAAGAGAAGGGAGTGGAAATCGATTGTCTCAACATTTTGTCAATAAAGACAGGGGTTTCTATGAAAGAGGCATAATGGCATCACCGTCAAAATGGTAAAAGTTATAGAGCAAAACGCTGAATATTTGATATAAGTGTGATAATTCTACCTTTGGTATATAAAGACTTCCACTTAATGCAGAAATAATGGATTACTTTTTACTAGGCTTTTCATTATATGTATATAATCATCGCAAATTTAGTACATTATATACTACGCTTAAAGTGGACTAAAGTCCTACCAAAAATGGCTGAATAGGCTCGGAAATATGCTCGCTTTCTAGAACTTCTATTCTTGACCTATCTGTGGGCTAAAAGAAACATGAAACATCAGTCGATGATCGACTGCTCGGTTCCAGCCGAACTTAGTATTCCTTACTTTTTATACATGTATTAGGGATTTTCCAGAACTCTGAGACAGATACTCAAGGTAAATTTTGACTTGATTTACAGCGAAAAATTATGAGTGTGAAACCACTTTTAGTGACGTCACTCTCCTTACTTAGTTCCAAAGTGTGACCATGTGTCACGTCAGAGGGCGCGTTGACGAAATATTACAAAGTTCTTACACTATATCAGGCACTATAGCCGACGGAAACGCAACGTCATTGCTTACCGTTAATGTGAAATGACTAATCAATAGCTGTCTGCGATTTATTGCTTAATCTCAATCTAAAAATCTAAATGATTTTTGTATTGGCAGGGCCTTAATCACCAGGCCAAGTACTTAAGAGGAACTACTTAATAAGCTTATCACACAGCGTGGCTACTGAGTCTCCCCTATTGCGCGTTTACCAAAACTTTTGAGGCCACATGACGGCGTAACGGCCGTCTACACAGTCAGAAGGCAGTAGAACGAAGTAGATAACCGTAAAGAAGGCTTTCATAATTGTTCCGCAAGAAGTTATCGCACGCAGTTCTACAACCGTTATCAGTAATAAAAAAAAAATTGGTTTTAGTGTTGGCTATAAAAGTGAAAGTATCCCACTGTTTCACAACAATTTAGTTTGAGCTTCAAGACGGAAATGAACACAACGGTTAAGTGGAACAGAATGTATAAACTTGTAACGGTATTTTTGAGCGTGATAACGCTCTTGTCGACTTGTGAAGCGCGTGGCATTGACTTAACACCCAAGAACAGCAACGAAATCAAAATTGTAGGTCGTGTTGTTGGCGGCGATGAGGTGACGAAGGGCGCCCTACCCCACCAGGTGGCCATATATAACACTTTCGGTGAATTTGTATGTGGCGGTGCCATTGTAGCGCCCGAATGGATCCTAACAGCTGGACATTGCATGGATTGGCCTAAGAAATATTTGAAGATCGCTACTGGCACCGCACAATGGGAACATCCCGGCGCCGAGTACACCGCTGAAGATGTCAAAATACACTGCCTCTACAACACACCGATGTATCACAATGACATTGCGCTCATTCGACTCAACAAAGCGATTGTCTATGACAGCTACACGGCGCCCATTGAATTGGCGACCAGCAACACATTGCAGACCGGTGACGATTTGGTGCTTAGCGGCTGGGGCGCCATACGTTCCTGGGGTAATGCGGTTAGCACGCTGAAGAAAGTCGATTTGAAATATCTCGATCATGCTACTTGTGAGAGTTCGGTGCGTAATGCAAAATTCCTTGGCGATGGCCACATTTGCACATCCACGAAGGATGGCAAAGGCGCTTGCAGCTACGACTCTGGCGGTCCGTTGGTCGATTCCAATGAACTGTTAGTTGGTGTTGTAAATGGTGGCGAGCCATGTGCTTTGGGTTTTCCGGATACATTTGCCAGTGTTGCCTACTACCATGATTGGATCACCAATACCATGGCGGGCAGTGATGATTGCTGAGTGTGTTGGCAGGTGTGAGCTGTGATTACTGACTGCAGCAGGGAGGTTTAGTAACAGGAGCGACAGTGCCATTCGCGAACAAATAAATTTTAAGTTATAATAGTTACATTTTTACATTTTCATTTACATAACTTTTCTTACAAATCCTCAGTGGGGCGCTCAAAATAACGAACACAAGTAATTTAATTTTTTTCAAAGACACAATTTGTTATTATATTTTTTATATGTATCAGATAAATGAAGAAAAATTTTACAAATTTCAAGAAAAAAAGTTATTATTTTTGTGTAATCAAGTGTTCATTTTCCAAAGTACAAAATACAATACAAAGTATCTATTGTACAAAGTAAATGTCCGCGGTCATGGCACAGTCACTGGATTAACGATTACGAATGTTTTTAAATATCACATTCCGACTAGAAACTATACCCCGCTTAACCGCTTTGGTAAATTTTTAATTTGCATACCTACAATGGATGGCCGTATTTGAGATCGTGGGCTCGAAACTTGGTCAGAACAACAATAAAAATTAAAGAAAATTAATTTTGACTTAACTTTTCCAAATGAATTCATCACTCGGCAGGGAATATCAACCCCTACCGGTTTGTTTCTCGCATGCAATGTAAAGCTACTCGTACATATCCGTTCGGAGCCAGCTTAGAATAATTTGCAGATCCCTACATTTGTTGGAAATACATCAAGATGCGCACAAGAAATTTGGTAAGGGTTGAAGTTCTTCCAAAAAGCCGTCCACGAACGGTTGCTGACTTTTTGTGAGTCACTCCCTGCCGAGGAGCGACCGAACTCTGGCAATTTAACAAAGAAATTTACCATTTGGTTGGTTGGAAGGGGAGGTTGAGACCACGTCCACCTAAAAAGACCGTCGAGTTAGCTCACCGCCCTGGTTTAGGGTTTTCCAACAATGCGTGTTCACCTCCGTAATGTTGTAATTGGTGACATGGTGAAAGATGTACGATCTCAACTGGCTGTAGGCCGGACACTGGCAAAGTTCTCTGTATACTCTGCCTGGTCTGTACGAATTTAACTTACCGAGCTTGTCGAGCTGATATTTCAGGTAAAGATGCCTCGTTAGCAAGCTCATAAGAAAACCAACTTCCGTCTGCATTCTATAATTTAGTAATACGTCCTACTTTGGATGTGTGGCAGGGCTTTAAGTATTCGTCCATGGTCGACTGCTTTTGACGACCTTAGAATTTGCTAAAGGGTTAGAGGTAGCTTTATTCCAGAAAACTAATCGATTGAGTTTGGAGCTACTTAGATTATTTTGCACAGTCGCAGAAGAATTCGGCAACTGTGTCTGTCGCGCATTTAGAGCTAACAATACAACATCCATATCTGTGCGTTCAGTTTTACCATTGGATTGCCCTTAAAGTAAAAAAAGTTGGAAGCTTGCATATAAAAGAGGGTATCCTTTTCCCGGTCATATTATACCTTCAGGTTGGGTACCAGTTTTATTCTCCATATAGTGTCATATCCCCACAGTAAGGGGAAGGTTCCCAATTGTCAATGACTTCTAGGCAGGTAGCTTTAGCACTTTTACTTCACTTCTACATTGGTTGCCCCGATGTCGAGACTGAGTTTTAGAGCCTTTGTTGCGGTCCGTTGTACATCATCCAATGGTCTAATATGGCACTTTTTCTTCAGTCTTACCCAGAACTCTTCTGTATAGGCAATTAACTATATGACCAATTACCCGCTGGCCCCCACGTTCTGCCGACGCTTTGCTGGGCCTTATCTTCCCTTCAGTTGAATTTTTCATAAATTTTCTGATATGATCTAAAAGGTCCTCATAAAACCCATTAATCGTCCGGAGGTAGCGCAGTCCCTTTATTTGTTGGAAAACATCAAGACGCGCGCAACAAATAGTAGTATGAGCTCGGCTGGGAATTGCTTCAGTGGTGGAAAGGCACCATTTAGAAACAATTGACTAAGTTGGAAGATATTATCATATTTCTCTTTTAAAAATTTCAGTCTTCTCCTAAATAAGACTGATCGCTTTTTTCGGGGCTCAAAGTGTGTTCTTGTATGATTCCGTAATAGGCGATTGCTGAAAGCAGATGGATTGGGAGATAGAAGGCCAATATGAGAAGGATAATTCTAACAACCTGAAAATCGCACACGGCTCTTGGTTTGGTTAAGCCAAGTTAAGATCTGGTTGATTTCAAATAAGGAAACAGGGGAGATCAATGCGCAAGTTAATCCAATTTATATTTATAGAGTTTTCTATAGTCCCGACTACTTCATAGATAGCGGTATCAACTGTTTTACCAATGACGTCGGCGTGCTGTCGGTATGACACCTGCTCCTAAGGAATTTCTCGGTTTGGTCAAATCTTCATGCTTTTTCAGATAATATGTTAAACAGATCTCTCTTTATGGTCGATTTTAATGGGTGTTTCTTGGCGTATATCTAACGTATACGTCTTCGTTCATATTTTGGACTGGAATCCAAGTTTTTTGCCTTCTCAGAGAGGGTAAGAACCTCATCCTCCAACTTCTCAAAATGCTTATCAGAATCCAAACGCGATGTCCCCTCCATCAAACCCTCCTACTTTCTCAGCAGGTAACAAATGTTATATTTTATAAATTTATTGATGTTTGAAATACTTTTGCACTTTTTGATATGGTTGTGACCTTTGAGTTTAACGGTAGCTACCAGCTGCACCAAAATCGACCAAACTAATTCGAATCGTCAGCAGACAGCACTTCTCCCCCAAATGATAACGCATTTGTTGACTTTGGATTGTATGAATCATTGTAATGCCCATTTCTTCTAAGCACTTTGATATCACGTCTAATAGTCAATTGTGTCAGTCTGTATGCATTATTTTGATTTTAATTTTATAAATAAATTATAAATAATTGAAATCAATGAAACACATACATATAAACCAACTACTAACTGCTTATCTGAAATGTTTGTGGCAATTTCGTCTAATAAAGTGAGATATGAGAGAATTCGGTCTAAAAATACGATGCTGATTACGTTTGTTTACGCTGTAGTATGCATACATAAATGTACATATGTACATATATAGGTAGGTGCATATATAAAAAACTACCAATAATCATTTAGTAACTTAAAGTTCATAAAGTTTTTTCAACTACACGCAGGGGACATATGTACCATGCAAACAATTTTCGACTATTTGCGTCCATTGGAGTGACCCCATAGGTACTCCTCTGTAATGTACTAGTGGATCACCTCATATCTCGGTACCACCCTGTTGTTAGCCAATGATTGCTCGTGTTTTAACGATCGCAATTACGAAACGATGTTGGAAGTGAAATTGAGTCAGTTTCGCTTCGTTGGTGAGCTTTGCTCTTTGGACGAGCATAAGCTGGGGGCTAATTGTCAAAATAATGTTAATTTAAATTTATATGATAAATATTATGTTGGTATGTATTAATGCACATACATATGTTGTGGCCAAAGCGAAAAATATTCGAAACTAAAAATTGTCATTCTTCTTAAATACCTGAGGTACTTCATGGAGAAATTTTGGAATTAATTTCGAAACAAATTTCATGTACGTACTCCATGGATTGCTCGGATGTTATGCGAAAGTGGAGTATATGGTCTAGCCATAGGGTTGTGGTTTGTTTTGGATTACTCCATTGTCCGCGTTGTGTACACATTTCACCTTCATACATAAATACATGCATTTGAAAAGATAAGAAAATTACTTCTTGAGTATTCTTAAGAGTCTTTTAAATATAAATTAAAATTAAAATTAATTAATTTTCAATGGTTTTTTTTTGATAAGAAAGCCGAAGAAACTCCCCTGTCCAACTAGCCCGGCTTCAAATAGGAACAGAGTAAGACTTCCAGGCAGCTCATTTCTCCTCTTTTTTATTGGCATAGACCACCGTCTACGCGATTATAGCCGAGCTGACGACAGTGTTATAACGGTTTACCCTTTGCGCTGTACGACGCCAATTGGGAGCACCAACAGCAGCCAGGATCTACCCGATCATCTCTTTCTAATGAAGTGGAGGTTTTCTTCTTCATCTTTTGCTTCAACCATGGGGGTATTGCATTGAATATTCCAAAAGTTGCTGCGCTCTGCATTCCGTCAACGTGATCTTGCCAGCGTAGCTGCTGCATCATAATTTGCTTAACTATGTTGGCGGCCGCGGTAGCTGAGTCGTTAGCATTGCTTACTGTCATGCGAAGGCTCGGGTTGAAATCTAAGTTTCGTACCAACATCCAGAAAGTTATAGAAAATTAATTTAAAATCAAAAATTAACCTAAATTATCCAATTGCGGTCGCCCCTCAGCAGGGAATGTCAACCCTTTCAAGTGTACTTCTGACATGAAATAAAGGCTCCTCATAAAACCCCATCAGCCATTCGGAGGCAGCTGAAGGTCCATCCATTTGTTGGAAAACAAACAAGACGCAAAACTACAAATTGGAGGAGGAGCAGGGTTACAAAGGGCCAATTATATATATATGTATATATAGTTTATTCCCATTGTCAGTGATGTTCGTCATTGCCAATGCGCAAAGGACCATAGATTTTCCGCAAACCCTTTTTTCTTGAAAATTCCAAGCACCGACTCATCAGGTGTCGTCACTGACCATGCGTCTGCACCGTAAAATATGACGGGAATAATAAGCGACTTGCAAAATTTGGTTTTTTGTTCTTCCAGAGAATATTTTACGTTTCAATTCCTTACTCTACCCAAAGCAAAACTTGCTTGCAAGATGTGGGATGCTAGACGTGAAAGCGCTGACTGAATGATAGCATTAAATTGACAGAACCATTCGCCACGATTCCTTATCCAGTGTTGGGGTAATTGTTGAGGCCATTGGCTTGAATATCATCTTAAGGTTACAAGCTCCTATGGAAGAAGTTGCTCAGTGTTTGTTAACATACCCCTATAAGTTCACTCACAGTTCTAATAAGTTCATTGGTGGTGCTTTAATCTTTCACAAAGCATACTGGATAAGCTCATTGAGGAAGCTCATTTCAGTTCATGTTGGTGAATTTTGGGGTTCTGTTTCTGATGGATTCGTTGATGCCAATCATCGGTTATCCTCTCATCCGACTGAGATCTACAAAGGAGTTGAGTCGGTAAGCTTTGTTATTCTTTAAATGGGCAATCGCTGTTCGGACATCTTTAGAGTCGTGAAGTCGAGTTCACTATCTCTTGGACAATTTTTTTCTTCAAAGTTTGAGTATATTTTTTTCTTCGATTACCTGCACCTTTTCTAATCTGGTAAGTTGCCGCATTTTTTTTATAGATTTTTCAAGAATAACCCCGTCGGCCAGCATTTTCAAACTCATTTCGGTCTCTCTCAATTACTTCTCTTTCGATCGCGACTGTTGATCGGCAGTCTTGTTCGAAGCTGTATGTAAGGAGCGTGAAATGCCGCCAAACAATTCTAATACACCGAGATGTTCTCAAAGAGTAGGAATGCGAGTTGAGTGCTCTCAGAGAGCAGGAATGCGAGTTGAGTGCTCTCAGAGAGCAGGAATGCGAGTTGAGTGCTCTCAGAGAGCAGGAATGCGAGTTGGGTGCTCTCAGAGTACATGAATGTGGCTCTGCGTTGTGTTTGCAGGTTTTTGGTGGAGTTTTTTTTGCTTCCCAGCGGCAGATGCTACCACAAGTCATCCTATCACGGGCTTTGAGGTTTTCGAGCCGGAGATAGTCAAGTAGTTGATATTTCGACCACAGTTGAAATCGATTAGTTTTAAACCATTTGAGGATGTATTGTAATGGAGATTGAATTTTCCGACTATTACGCCGAAGATACCTTCTCTACTCGCTCTGAAGTTAAAGGCGTCAAGTAAAATTTTGGCGTCGTAGCAAGGTAGCTCTCATCAGTACACTTCAGGCTCTCATAAAAGCCGTTTTTGCGCATATTTTAAAAAGTCGTACGAAGAATTAAAAAAAAATTTCAAATATAAAATTCAAATTTCCAATTATTGGATGAGTGCATAAGTTCGTGCCCGATTCCGCTGCCTGCCGTTCGAATCGTTTGAGAGTGGCGCTCGTGAAAGAAATATAAAATAACTTCATTTTGATTTGAGTTGCTTAGTGAAAAGACGCATGGAAGATCGAAAAAGATCATATGCGTCATATTATGTTATACGAATTCCGCAAAGGAAAAACAGTAGGCGCTGCAACTAAAGATATTCGCCAAGTTTATTTGAACCGTGCTCCAGCACTCCGCACAGTAAAGAAATGGTTCGCGAAATTTATGTTCTGGAGATTTTAACCTCGAAGATCTACCTCGCAGTGGACGGCCTTCTGAGCTTGATGACGATGTTCTAAGGACTTTAGTTGCGAATAACTCACTTATTTCGGCGGAAGAGGTTGCCAGTGAATTGAACTCGATACATGGGTGCCACATCAGTTGAGTGAAAAAAACAAAGTGGACCGTATGTCAACAGCAATTTCTTTGCTTCGACGGATCAAAAGCGAACCTTTTTTGGATCGGCTCGTGACTGGTGATAAAAAATGGATCCTGTACAACAATGTTCAACGCAAAAGAACATGGAAACAGGCACACGAAGGGGCGGAACCGACGTCGAAAGGTGGATTGCATCCGATGAAGGTACCGTTGTGAATTTGGTGGGATATCCGAGGCGTGATCTGTTTTGAGCTCTTGCCAGCTGGAGAAACGATCACTGCCAACAAGTATTGTCAGCAATTGGTCGAATTGAAGAAAGCAATTGATGAAAAACGTCCGATTTTGGCCAATCGCAAAGGAGTTCTTTTCCATCATGACAACGCCAGGCCACATGTTGCAAAACCGACCCTGGCCAAACTGAAGGAGATAAATTGGGAAATAATGCCGCATCCCCCATATTCACCCGACATTGCACCTTCTGATTATCATTTGTTTCGATCGCTGCAGAACAATTTGAATGGAAAAAAATTGTAAAATGTGGAAGATGTCAAAAACCACCTTCACACCTTTTTCAATGAATCACAATTTCTATGAATCAGGCATTCGTAAATTGGTTGAACGTTGGGAGTGGATTGCCGAACACGATGGCGAATACATAATTGATTAATAAAAGCGCTTTCTTCAAAAATTTCAATTTTAGTTTGCACTTGAAATCGGGCACGAACTTATGCACTCATCAAATATTTATATATTATATGGTCGTGAAATATAATTTCTAACGTAAAATAAAATGTACTCATTCCTACTGGGTACTTTGTCATTAAGATACACTTTAGAGAGCTCTTTAATTATTGCATACTTTTTGGCGCTGAAAACGTTTTAATTGCTGAATAAACCATTTTTGCTTTCGAAAATAACTGCATATTGGTAGAGGAACCTGTATCACTCAATATTGCAATAGAAACGAGCTCATATCCATTAGGAATAATTTTAGTTTGTTTATATAACCAGATAATTGTAGTACGAGCTCCATTTTTCTTTACATTTGTTAGTAGATGCGTACATAGTCTTCTACAATTCCTTAGCTTCCTCAGCCTCGGCCTCACTCTCCATGGGCGCACTCAATTGGGTGCGTATAAAATCGTGGTAGTAAGCAACACTGGCATGCACATCTGGATAACCCTTAGCGCAGGGCAAACCCCAATTCACCAATGCCACCAACGTGCCATTATGTACCAAGGGACCACCGGAATCGCCATGACAAGCGCCTTTACCGTTATCATTAAAAGTGCACAAGTGACCCACATCGACGTAGGAAGAGAGATTGTCATTGTGTGCTTCACGGCACTCCTCGTACGGCACCACGCGTACAGTCAACGTTTGCAAGACATCGGGTGTGGAGCCTCCCAACGCCATCGAACCCCAGCCAGTTAGCACAAGTTCGTCATCCTTCTTCATTGGCTCGTAGGCATACTTCACAGCCTGCGTGTGTTCGTCATAAACAATCGAATCATTCAAATGCAGCAGTGCAATATCGTTGGCGTATGGTGGATGATTGTAGTTCGTATGCATAACAATGCGATCCGGATAGTACACCTTGCCCGTGTTGTTCTTCAAGTTTTGGGCGCCCGTAAGGATCTGTATCTTCTTGGCTGTAGCACCCGACACACAATGAGAGGCTGTGATAATCCAACGTTGATCGATAATTGCGCCGCCGCAGAAGTGACGACCTTTTAGATTCTGCATGGATATTTGGTAGGGCGCCAGTCCCTTAGGTGCTGCTTCACCGCCAACTATTCGTGGATGGGATTGCGGTGGATAGAGAATTTGATCTTCGTCCTTGGTTACCATACGAGCACCGACAAATGCCACCAATGCGAGCTGAAGCATCAGCAGCAGACCGTTTGCTTTGCGTAGAGACATTTGATTTGAATTGAGGTAACTGTAATGCGTATTTTCAGGAAATAGTTTACCCTTTTATACAAACTTGAGACATGAAACTTTGGTATTTAATAACCTAAATATATATGTACGTGTAAGTAAGGGGCGTTAACAGCTTTGTTCTTATCGCTACCTCGGCATTGGTATTTATGAGGTCAGGCTAGAAGGCCCGCTGTGGGCAAGTAAATAACAGTCAAATTAGCATAAATTTGTGCAATGCGGTATTCACTAACGGACAGCATTCGTATTTGGTGCAACATTTTGTAATGCGAGTATATGTATTAAGGAGATCAAATTGCGGTTAATAAAATGAAAATTTCAGTAGCAAAACTGGGCAAGTGACTTTGTTGCGAAACCACTTTGAAGATTTAACTTACAGTTTAACGCAATTCTGTATATATATAGGATTATCCATATTGTGGCTTAGAACGAATAGGGCTCTATTGTGCCATCTGTCAAACTAATTATATTTTTTTTTAGTTAAAAATCAGACATTTTGAAAGGTTATGAAATTGTTACGTGACCACGCTTCGTGCTACAAAAGGGGACTATGTTGCACACAAAGGTTCGACTACTCAAGCTTGAAGAGACTGGATCGGTTACAGATATTGTGGAATCAGCACGTCTTGGGTTTCTTCGTTCCATCGTAAATATCGCCACTTCAAGTGAAAGTGCAGCCGAAGCTCGGTCTGTCTATTTCTCGAAGTTTTCGAGAGCTTAGCCATAGAAAATCAAATTTTGACGAATTTTGTACTTGGAATTAGGCCTACACCCATATAAAGTCCAGCCTGTAACAATTTCTAAAGCCCGATAACCTTTCAGAACGCAATACATATGCATGTTCATTGGGCGCTTGAACAAATTTTTTTTCGACGAGGTACTCGGGGTTACGTAAATAAGAAAAAATTATCACGTTTGAGGCTCTGAGAATCCTCAAAGATTTGACGAGAGATCATAACTCCAAAAAAAACTTACTGTCTGGTGCGCTCTTTGATCCTGAGTTGTTATTAATCCTTACTTCTTTGAAAACGACAATGATGAGACTGTCGCTGTCAATTCCGAGCATTATGGTCATATGATAACCGACTTTTTCTGGTCGGCAATTAAAGAACAAGACTTGGAGAACTGGTTTCCACAAGATGGTGTCACATGCCATACAACTACAACAAAAGTGGCTTCAATTCGAGAGAAATTTCCTGGCCTCGTTATCTCTCATCTTAGCGATATCAATAAGCTACTGAGATCGCGCGATTTGAAGCCGTGGGACTACACGAAAGACCAAGTTTGTGTGGATAAATCTTTAACTCTTGAACTATTGAAAACCAACGCCAGACAAGTCATGGCTGAGATGCCGCCCAATATGTGCCAAAAAGCGATCAAACTTTTCATCAAACGGATAGAAGTTTGCAATAATTCCCAAGTCCGTCATATGAATGATGTTCCGCCAGGAATGCCAAGATTCAGACTTCGTAGTAAAAACGGAATTTCATGAAAAATTATGCTAAATGCATTTTACTTAGATTTATTTTCGAAATTACAAAATGGATAGCTCTGTATAGTTGAAAAGCGACTATTTTTTCCATCAATAAATATTTTATAATATTTCACAACCAACATAAAGCGAAATCTAAAGTTTTTTCTGGGCCATCCCAATACGGCTTATGGATTTTGCTGAAGATTTTTATGTCAGAAATGCACAAAAGGGTTGCCCGCAAATGGAATATTTTTACTCCTTATTGAACTGTTAAACAAGGAATTACCGTTCCATATGCGAGTATAATCTAACTATTCTCACAGAGGTCGAATGGGGCCCACGTGAGTGAAGAAAGTTTTTGATATCCATTCACCTGGGAGTGGCTAGAAACGTTTATTTCACTTATGGTTCAAGCAGCTCACGACTTTCGGTCTTACGCTGAAATAGCGAGTTGAAGTGAAAGTTAAAATCCATGCTACTCTGTATAGGACTTGGAACGCACCCCATAAAAAATTTACTCCAATAAGGCATCTTACAAATAAGTCTGGGAGGAGACCTCACTTCTGATAATTACCCTTGCAAACGGTGAAAGGTCCACGATTTAAAGGCACTCACAAACGATTAGAACCACGTGACATATACCACAATGGCCATAAAAGAAGCGTAAATTTGTTGCAGATCGTATGGTGGCAGCGAGACTCAGTTGTAGTATTCACGCCGGGATATGAGCATCTAGCCACGATCCGCGTTGAAGCGAAGTGCTTCAATATATCGCTGATTTGCATGCAGTCTACGCCAGAAGAGATGGACGTTGTAGACAATGAGCGTTTGTCCGCACCACGTCACAAAAGCGCTTTTAGTGATTTCAACACCACAGTGGACAGAAAAAGTGTATTTAGTCCTACAGTCGAAAAATTTACCCTCCCGGATGAAACATACATAAACAGATGGAGATTGAGAGACGTGGCCGGAATCCGAAATACGGTAGTCTGTGGCATCACATTCCGGCGTAAGAAAATACGGCTACAAGGCTTTCAACTCATTTTCTGTGATCTAGATGTACGTACGTTCCGAGAACCTAAAATCCACTCGGATTATCATATAGTAATCTTGCAAAGATGCGCAACCCCCTCTGCGTAGCAAAACGCCCATCAACAAACACAATGAAGGTTCGATATGGAAAAGCTGCAATCCCAACAGACAGCCAGTTGGTTATCTACTCAACTTGCACTCTTGCTCTCTGAAAGCACTCATCAGCAACTCGGTATAAAGCAACTATGGAAGACATCTCAAACTCAATGCAGGTTGCCGCTACATAAACATTTAATGTCCGATAGTGTGCAATATACCAGCTGTATTTGTATGATGAAGAATGTCGAACTGGAGTGGAGAGAATAAAACTATCTACTGCGCAGTGCCTAGCAGCGTTGCAATCGTCCAGGAGACGTCCAGGATATGAGAGATAGCGAATATAGCTGAAGAGGGAAGCAAGACATATTTGCAGACAATAAAAGATGTGCAAGTGCAAGAAGCTTCAATTTCACCGATATCTTTACGAAAATATACGGGCAGTACCGATGCCAAACAAGAAAAAAATTATACTTAGAAATAGATAAAGTAAAGTTTTCTTAGTGATCTCGCACAATCTCAATCCTAACTATGTAAAACTTGCACCGCTTGTGTAGTGGGAGGGCGAAGAGCTTCCTTGACCTTCCATGGTAAATCTTAGAACTCTGCAATGGTCTGGGAGCATAAGCCCTGAGACCAAACGGAGTTCATGGCATCCATGGAGATGTTTAGAGCTCTCTTTCTTAAGCAGCTCTGCCCTCAACATATTACCCGTAAGTTTTTATGGTTGAGAATGAGTCAGTTGGGATGAAGTAGAGAGCTTACATGTATTTACAAGATGGAGGGATATCTTTTATTAGAAAATGGAATCTTAATATGCTAAAATCTTAAAACTAGAATAACAAATGAAAGTTGTTGACAATTCCTTGCGCTCTTACAACTTCATAACAACTAACATTAAGCATTCATTGGCAAAATGAAGATCTTTAGTACTGATTCACTGGTGGCAGATACTGACCACTTGCTGGTGGATTAACGGCATTCTGGTATTGATCTTCGTAATGTGCCTCTCCACCAGCTTGCTGCTGCTGTTGTTGCGGCAATTGCTGCTCCTCTTCGATTTCCTCCTCCTCTGGCGCATCCAATGAGCCGACAACCGAAGTAACCGGGGCCAATCCCTCATCGGTTATGGTGGAAGTACCACCCAAGCTGTCGTATTGTGATTGAATTTGACGCTGCGCATTGGCAGCCTCTTCGGGTGTGCGATATTTAATGAAGAATACTTCGGGTTTGTTAATATGCTGGGGTGCCTCTTGAATGGCATCTTGCAATTCAGCCGCTGATGTTTTCTTCGATAACACATATACAACAGTCTTCTCTTCCTTCAGCGCCTTAGCCAAGTTGACAGCTGCAGTCTTGCTAGTTTGTGCCGGGGTCCTTACGAACAGCACATTGTAGTGTTTGCGTGGTTGTGCGGCCAATTGATTCAATTCCTCTTGGATCTCATCTTCATTATCATCGGGTGCTGAGTGTATGAAGAAATTCTTTGTCACAATAGCTTTCTTTGGTACTTTGGTGCGTGGTCTTAAACGACGTGCCTGCTTGACTACGCTCACGGGGGCGAGTGGCACGTGGAAACCTTCTGCTGCAGGGAAGTTGGACGGCATGGGCAGGGCTTGCGGCGGCAATACGGCTGGGCTGTGTGGTAGGCGTTGGATAGGCTGTTGTGGTGGCAGCGATTGAAGTGTTTGTTGTGGTGGTAGCGATTGCAGTGGTTGTTGTTGTAGTGGTAGTGGTCGACGCTGTTGCTGCTGTTGTTGTAGCATTGAGGGCAAATATTGCTGACTCGGTTGGGTTATTTGCATTGGATTATTAATACTACCAGGCAACGCTTGTTGCAATTGTTGTTGCTGTTGCTGCGGCAGCACGGATAGCAGCTGTGCGAGTAATGGCTGCTGTGCACCATTATAAACTGGCTGTGGCTGGAGTTGGGGCTGCTGTTGTACATTATAATTGTAGCCATTGCGTAATGAGATATCGGCGGATGCCAGTGCAACCAGCGCCAGCGAAAGAGCCTGCAAACAATAGAAAATGTCAAAATTATAATTTCAAAAAAGAAAATTAAAATTTTCATGAGAAATTTCCAGAATTTCTAGTAATTATTATTAGGGTGCAAGCTAATTCGATCCGTTCTCAAAAGATGGCTTCACTCGCACGTTGTGTCCGCTCTTGGAAGCGATTACCAATTTCACTGGAAAGGTGTCACATCTGTCGACCATAATTGATGTGACTCAGCGTCTGTTACTGACATCAGCTTGGATTTTGGCCTCTTCGAAAATGGCCGCATATAAGTATATGTATATGTTATATAAGCAGCATTTGCGGGAAGCTTTCTATTTTAATTTGCCGAATCTGCGCCGACCGATAAGTCTTGCAGAGACTGCCTTCGATGCTTCAAAAATGTCCAAAGTCCATGTTCGGCATATCGTGGGGCCAAAATTTACCGAAAGGCATGACAAGGTGATTTTAAAAAATTCCAATTCTCTGACCCACATAGCTGTATTGGTCAAAAACTACCTTGAAATGCGAAAATGGGAGGTCTTATCCCACCGTCGTATTAGCCATACCTTGCACCTTCTAACTAGTGGCTTTTTCGATGAATACAAAATAATTTTTCGGGGAGGGGACAACGGTGCAGAGCTTTTGAAGATAACGAAGAATTTAATTGAGAGATGGTATTCGAAAATTACCAGAGAGATGGAAAAAAGTAATCACTTCCGACGGACGGACGTATTTTTTAAATTTGGAATTGTTTATTCTGTATTCAAAATTTGTTTTCAGGTTAATTATTTGCAATTTGAAATCTTTGCTAGATTTTATATCAATCAAAAATTTCGATACTATAAGACAATGCCGTTTTCGAATATATTCGACTTCGAATTCAAGTAAATTCTTAAAAGAATTTATCGTATATTAGCCATTTTGCTTGAAACTAATTGAACCATTCCGTAGTTAAAAAAAAATCTTTTAAATATAAAAATTTTTATAGCTTACTATATTTCGAAGTCGAACATATTCGAAAACTCGAAAAGAAATTTTATGTATTAAAATAAATCGCTTAATATTGAAAACAACTTTTGTAGCTTACTACAATTCGAAGTCGAATATGTTCGAAAATTCGAAAACGCAAATATTTTTGCATTATCGAATATTCAAAAAGGAGAAATTTTTGGTGCTATAGATATTTAATTTCAAAAAAGAAAAATAAATAAAAGCACTCAAAATTTGTAGAATTAATGTGTAAAGCTATGTGAAGTTCGAAAGTCGGAAATTTCATTCTCATCAACTTGCTCGCTTTATACACAACTGTACGAGAGTTTTTAATAAAATATCCATCAATATGATGATATGATTAAAATTGGAAATTGTTCAGAAAACACGTTTCGAAATTCGAATTTTTTAAATTTTAATGACGTAGCTTTGAAAAAACTATTTTCTCATTTTAATTCTTTTGTTTTTTATTTTACAGATTCTCACACACACTTCACTCTCAATAAAAATTTTGGATAACTTTATATCTTAAAACTCCGAAGGAAACACTTAAAATCTTTCAACAGATCGCCCCCTCATTCACATACCACAAAAATCTTCATATTGTCACTTAGTTTGATGCTAAAGTTAAGTTGATTAAACTACAGCTGGTCTCTTGGTGGTGACCACTTGACGATGACTGTTGACCAAAACCAGCCCATACGCGCTTTTTATACCGATATAATAAACCTTAAAGCCATTCACCAAACAATCAGAAGTGATCAACGCATAACAAATGGAACGTCACGCGGCTAAGTGACAGTGAGGCACCGATCTTCACTTCGCTTGTGCTTGTGCGCGGAGGCATCTTTCACACTTTGTAATCATATGCAGCGAACACTGCTAGTCATAGTGTAGAGCAACCTATAATCATAGAGCAACAAAAACAATAAATTTTATATATGCAACATTTTTTAATAATTACAATGACAATATGTTTGGAGTATAAAAGGTATTACAAATACGACTTGTCGCCCAGCAAATCATTTTGATTTTGTTTAAGAGTTAAATACAATTAATATATATATATATATACGAGCATATATTTGTACATAAATAGATAAATAAGAAAATAAATAAAATGCACACAAACATACATATGCAGAGAAGAGACAATTTTGACAATACCATCTCAATCTCAATTATATATTATTATGAATTTATTGTTCAGAAAATGAGAAAATGCAAACCTTTCGCATTGCTAAAATTAGCAAAAATACAATAAAAAATTAATTTGAAAATTTTGCATTCTTTTTTCGCTTTGATTTATGGGTATAGGTAGTTTGGTGTGTGGAAGTGGTTGCTGGGCATCAGCTCACTTAGGCACTTAATGTGATCATTGTGTGAGGATCCTAATGACCCTCAACCGCCAGTCATACTAATGCGTGGCGATTACAACTTTGCCCCCGCTACACCGCCCAAGTCTCCAAAGGTTGCTGCAAAAAAGCGAGGAGCATTCGCCAATAAGGTGCCTTAAGGTTTCAGGTTACTCTTCTTATCTACAACTCCTGCGGAAGTCATTAAACCGTAAGCTGAACTTCTCTGAATGCCTGTGCTGTTTTCCTGGGCACTGTAAGAAATCTTATAAATCGTACCAGGTGTACAACTTTGCTTCCGCCGTTTTCCGATAGGTGGCTGTACCGGCGGAAGCTGGTTGAAATACATAGATGATAATGCCTTTAAAGTGAGTGTGGACAGTGCCTAACGAATTGTCATCGCCGTTTCAGTGGCAGTTGTTCTTGTTTTCGTATTATTCACGCTCGAAAATGTCTGTTTATGTGCCTAATTCTCGCCATTTGCGGGAAGTTTCACTTTTCTGTTACAATTCGAAAAAAAAATGCAGCTGAAGCGCATCGAATACTCTCAGCAACTTACGGTGATGCTGCTCTGAGTGAAAGAACGTGTCGGGAATGGTTTCAACGAATATTCACTGCGCCAAGGTTATGGTTTGTATTTGGTGGGATCAGCATTTCAATCCTTCGAAGAATTGGAAAAATGGATTGCTTCCTGGATAACGTCAAAAGAGGACACTTTTTTTCGAGCCGGGATCCGAAAATTGCCGGGAAGATGGGAGAAAGTTGTCGCTAGCGAAGGACAATACTTTGAATAATATATCTGTAAGCACTTTTTCGCAATAAAGCTTTTAATTTTGGAAAAAAACGACGGAAGCAAAGTTGTAGACCTGATAGATATCTTATTTCTTTTCAGCGCGATTAAGTCACGTTTGATATATATCGATTTTGAGCTAGCAACTGGGATAAAAAGCTCTGTTACAGATTCAAGGGCTCTTAATACGACCTGGTTGTCCGACCCGTCCTTCGTTATCCAGTTTTGACTCATAAAAAATGAATCGAGTCTACACTTGCTGGTATTATCCTGACCCTTTGGCTTTCCTCTGAAATAACTACCTTGATTTTTTCGTGAATTCAGTCCGTCTTTTCTGGTAGGCAGAACCTTTTTAAGATAGTGGTAAGTTCGTGAATTATAACTTTCCATTCGGACTACTTTTGTTGCCTTACAGCGGCTCATTTATGCAAAAAAGGAAAGCAAATTTGCGGAAGGGCCCAAATAGTTGTAAAGGGCGTTTGCCATGGAAACAACAGTCGCCATTTCCATTATTTATTTTTCAAATTTTTTATATGTATATCACATAAAATTTGCTTCATCTTGCTTGACAGATTAAACTCAGACTCGAGGGCGAAGCAAGTCGAGCGTGTACCACAATGAAGACCTAAAAATTACCCGCTACTTCGCTTCGCCTCGTCTCGAACACACCCTGACAACAAACTGTGATACATCCGTCGATATTCAAAGAAATTGATGCCTACACTTTGGCTTAGCTCAGTCGGTAAGTCACGCGATTCCACCGCTTTGTTGTTCTTCAGGTGATTAATCGCTGTTCATACTTCATCATATCATAGTTGGGTACTGCATTATCTATTCTATAGTAATTGATTGAAAATAAAGTGAAGTTCACCACCTCCGAAATTTTCAATGAAACCTAGTATACTCTGGGTATCGATCACCAGATCAGGTCTTTTAGTCCTGCCCGAATATATTGCAGTCTCGAAACCTTCTGTAAGTCGCCGCCTGAACACAGCCATGCATATTGATGAATTCTCTTATGCCCGAGTCCGGTACTACAAAGAACCATATTTCGGCTATTGATTGAAGTCGATCAACCTCAATCCACCTGGATACATTTCATGAAAGCTACTTTTTCTGACTGCTGTGCCAAGGATACTTCCACTGTCTGCGTTGCTGGCGTCGTAATCACCAAGTTTGATTTTGACATTGCTCTTGAGCTCTTCTGATAATTCCTTCCTGTTCTTAGAACACTAGCACCTTCCCAATGAAGGGAGACAAATTTGTTTGCATATATATGGGTGGTTAAGATTTAAAATGTTAAGCCAAATTAGAATTTTTAATTTAGGTACATAAATATATATATAACATGTACTTATATCCACCAATACAAGTTGCTATAGATCACTTCACAATCACAGCTATAACTGACACTATGACATATTTATTGGTCGATGGTCCACGATGCTTTTTTCATATTTTTTGCATTTATTCTTTATTGAATCTGCGCTCACATTTGAAGCCTAAGAATATTTAACAAATTTGTATAACTGAAATATAATAAAACATAATAACTTATTGACATATAGGGGCTCCTGATTTAACGGTATATTTTAAAGGGCAGGTTTATCTCTTCCCTTCAGGCGACCAAAGTATTAGCTCAAGAGTTCGGATACGAATGGAGTATGAAAACAACAGATTACACGGAACAGTGGTAGAGCACTCACCTGTTAAGTCAATATCCGTTGGTTCGATCACTGCCAAAAGAAGACTGATGATGTGATGATCTCCGAAACGGATGTCACTTTTACCATTTAGTGAGGTGGTAGTATTATACATATATACACACTAGCGAATACGACGAAATTTTCATGGCTTCAATTCCACGACTTGGATTAATTCCAGAATGAAAATAAAATATAGATGGTTCAATTCTTAAATGAATTATATTTGATTCGGGTCAATTTAAATTAGTAGAAAGCGATATGAAAGTAATTGATTAGTTTTTCGGCTCATAAACAAACAACAAAGACGATTTTCCAACTCGGGAACCGGCAATGTAGACTGGCAATGCGAAATTCATGGGCACCTCTCCTCAATTTTCTTATGCGCGTTATGTCGTCTAATAGAATGCATTTGTTAGGGGTTCAACCAGTGTGACCGCGAAAAAAAATTATTTTTGGCAAATTTTTTAAAGAAACTTTCTACAGAATTTTTTACATTGTCAAGAGTATATTTATCTATACATAAATAAGGTATCTTTACATATTTCTCAAATGGAAATCTTGCATTCTCGATGAGTTTTGCGCTGTCTCGCGGAGATCCGGAAAAACAAGTTTCCATTTTGTTGTCCTCCTATCTCCCTTCAGAGTACCTCAAATGAAAGAGTACAAAAAAATCCTTTAAAAGAATTGTATGAACTATAAAGTGACTAACGGTTGAGGTAAAAAATAATGAAAGCCCAAAAAATGCCGTCATCTTGAGGAAAAGTTTAAATTTAGCCTTAAAATCTGACGGTATTATCCATGTCAATTTTAATACAATGGAAATATGCTTTATGCCCGAAATAATGTTGAATACGATAAAAAAAAATTCAAGTCGATCGGATAATCTGTTTTGGAGTTACAATGACAGCAAGCTTCGAAGACGCTATTCCGAAAAAACGCGTTTGAAAAAAAAGACATACTCAAACTTAAACTCATATAACTGATCTGACGCATTTTAGAAATAATCCGAAATTGTTGCACTTACGCATCTCGGGTCGTAGTATATTTTTTTAAGAGGCTTAAGCTATGGAAGAATATAAAAAAACGATTTTTTGAAACCAGTGTGTTGAGCCCCTTAAGGCAGTAGGGTCCTTTTGAACCCGAAAAAAAAGTATTTTTTCAGCAATTTTTTTGAAGTTTAAGGAAATTATTGTGGTCAGCGAAATTTTCAGATGTACTATATTTGAATTTCGAAAAAAAGTTAATATAAAAAAAATATTGGAATTTTCCAAAGTTGTGATAAGTTTCCTGAAGCGGCTGCATTTTGAACTTGTGAACTTGTTGAGGTCGTGTGATGCATCTGAAACAGTCAAATAAATAACTTTTTTTTAATTTTATGAATGTCTCTCCTATATGAACTAACAAAATAGCGAAAAAGTTGGAAAATAAAACATTTTTTCGAAGTCTGAAAAAAAGTTCACTTCAAGAATAGTTTAAATAATACTTCTGCCGAGCTTTTTTAAATTAAATAGATGATAATTTAATACTGAAGCTAGATGACTTTTATTTTTTTCGATCGGACATATATTTTTTTTGCCAAGACTTGGAAAAAGGAAAGCTCAAGAAAACGCGTTTGAAAGTCTGCCCGAGCATTCGAGCCTGCTCGACGCTCGGCCGCTAAAACTGCACTAGCTTCTAAAATATGTCGTATTGGCCACTGAAATTTTGAGTTTCAGAATAGTTATAAGAGAAAAAAGTATGTTTTGAAGCCCACTACTGCATTAAGTAAACAATCCTCCTTTAAAATTAATTAAATCGTTTCAGGAAAGAAAAGATCAAACCATAACCATGATTATCCCTAATTGATCAATGTCTGGTCAATTACCATTTCAGAAACTATTC